ATACATACATATATATACATACATATATATACATACATATATATACATACATATATATACATACATATATATACATACATATATATACATACATATATATACATACATATATATACATACATATATATACATACATATACATACATATATATATACATTAAAATTTAGTTTTTTTAATTGTTAAGTTTAGTATTTGTCAAATCACACCATTCAGAGGATTTATTGGATTTAAGAAATCTTTCTCACACAAATATGAAATCCTGAAGTAAATTGCCAAATAGGTCACAATAATTCATTGGCAAATAATTGTTGGCTTGTAATCCTTCAAGATCACTTTAAATTCAATTTACAGGATTTACTAAATACTATGTGTAGCCAGACAGCATCTAAGATTCTATCCCATGTTTCTTTGTTTTGAGAATTATGGATGGAAAGGGGTGATCTTGTGATTGGCCCATCACTGTTGAAATAATACTGGATTATAGGAAAGTGAAGAAACAATTGTTTTACTGCATGAATTTTGCAGCTATAATAAGGCCTAATTTGTTAGCAAATTGTTCCATTGATTGCTATGTCATAATTTTTTTTTTCACTGATATATATTCTGAACATAAGCTCACCTGTATTTTTCTTAAAGAATGCTTGTGGTATATTAGAATTTCAAAGATATAACCAATGAACTAACTTTTTCTTGCTTTTACATATATTTATTTTCCTTCTATTTGTTTAGGTGCCGTGAGAAGCAGAGAAAAGAGGCGTCTCGTCTCCAAACCGTCAATCGAAAGCTAACTGCTATGAACAAGCTCCTGATGGAGGAGAATGACCGCTTGCAAAAGCAGGTGTCACACTTAGTTTATGAGAATGGATACATGCGTCAACAGCTTCATATTGTAAGTTTATTTTCCAATTTTCCATTGAAATTGCACTTGGTTTCTGTTTGATCTATCTACAATGCATATTAGGTACATAAGCGTTGTTCATCTTAGTAATTCAGGTTTTCTTTCCGTTCTCATTTTGTTTACTTTGACTCCAACACAGTTTGGTAGCTTTCAGTAGAAACCTTGATTAAGAAAAAGGAGAAAAAAAGAAGACTAGCTTTTATAATTAGCTGACATGGTTAACAACAAACAACAACAAAGCCTTAAACCACTGCGTAAGGTCGGCTGCATGAATCAATTTTCTCCATTGCGTCCTATTTAGTGGAGGGGTGTAACATGAGGACTTCCCAGGGGGTCACCCATTCTAGTACCACTCTCGCCCAAACACGCTTAATTGTGGAGTTCTGATGGGATCCGGTGCACTGGTGCTGGTATGATTGTCTAAAATAACGGAAAATTTTTTGCGAGAAGATTATTGGTAGTGTTGTAGGGTTGCTTTTAATGCCTTAAGGTTTTCTTTCTTTACATTTGCATTTTGTTTGTGTTGATGGTAGTGCATCATGTTAGCAGTCTTAGTAATCCAGAGTATTCCATATTTTAGGATGTTTTCATCATTTTCTTATTTTTGTGACCATATCTCTGACGTTGATAACAACTTTGACATTCTAATTTAATTCAAACATTTCATTTAAGCTTTATTTAGCTCTTGTAGTAGTTGGAAAAGTGAATTGATTCCATAATTAGTCAATACAATTTTATTAATAGCATGCTTTAGGAGCAAAGAAGTGATATATTAGACTCATGCATTGCTTTCTTTTGATGCTCAAGTTAACAACAAAGAATGCATACTCTACCACAGTGTATTGCGTCATAGTGTGCTACACATTTGGCATTAATTTCATAGGTTGGTTTAGTATCTGCTGCAGCAAAAACCTCTTACAGTCATTCACTTGTCCTTATAGGGTGGCCAACTTTTGGGTTGGCAAGTGGAAGGAAGGGGAGCTGACGACTGGAAATGCTGGAGGAAAGCAAGGAGGGCTGTTTGGGAGTCCCTACATTGAGGAGGGGAGATGGTGGTAGTGAAAGGAAAGTTGCAGGGGAAGGAAAATGATGGACAATCATCGCCTTAGAAAGAGGTACAGCCAGAGCACTACTCGTACTTGAATACAACCCTAGGAGGGAAGCCAGGAGATGGCTACGACTGTCCAGACAAAACATACGACAAACTTTACACATGAAGCAAATATGTAAGTTCTAGATAATTATGATTAGCCCCAATGCTGAAAGGAGCCAAAGCCATAGAGGAGACCAGTTCATGCGCTAGAATGTGGGAGTGGAATCCTAAGCCACTCACACCCCCGTCAGTCTTCTAGGTTAAGGGGAGCTTTGACCTCATCCATTGAAACTTCTATCTCATAGTTTAGAGTCAAATCAAACACGTTGAAGGTAGAGAAGCTTCCATCTCTTTACAGGGCCTTCCAAAAGTAGTTTAAAGTTGGTTCAACCCTAATTGACGTGAGGACATACTGCACTTCCCCTAACAGTGCCGGCTCCAGCTATCAATTTTCAGCCAGGATATCTTAAAATTCTCTTTGTAGTAGCTGTCCATTGTCTGAAATCTACCATGTTATCTCTCTATCTTCTATCATCACCAAATTTGATCTCACCGGTGCTTCTCCACTGGCAAGAACACCAACAACCTTAGACTCCACAAAAGGTAGGGGAACTATGCACCTGTAACCTCAGACTCCGTAGAAGGTAAGAGAACTAAGTGTTTTCCATCCTTGGTGAATGAGTAGGTGTTCTTGAATCTATTGTATTGAATTTGGTGATCAAGTTATCAGTCTCCTCAATAGGAAGTGGCAAACATCCATGTGCACCACGACGAACCACGAAGAACCATGCAGCTGAATCTAAATAGAAAACTTTATGAGGCACTTGTCAATGTTGATCATGTTTTTCTTCTTCAACCACGTCAGAGAATACGGCTTGGAATGCCTACTCGTGATACTCAACTTTTCCACCATATGTGTGGAATCCATATTCTTACTGCTATCTCTGTCGATGATTGAGGCTGCATGCCTTTCTCTCTACAATGCACTTTATGTAGAATATATTGGGGCGAAGCAACTGTTGCTCCCTTGTAGGCTCAGTCTGAAGGAACAGTGAAATGGCAAGCATCTCGCCCTAATCTAGTGAAAGCTAGTACTCATTGTTCTTCGGCTGCCTCCTTCAACTCACCTCCTCCACCAACCTTTTTCGGTGAATGAGATAACTCTGCTTATCTGGCAGTTGGAGCCGACGTGTCCATATCTGTGACATTTGAAGCATTTCTTGGCTAAAATTATACTGAGTCTGCTACTTTTTTTGTGCTTCTCACTTTGAGCGGCTTTGTCGTTCTCCTGATCAGTTCACTCAACTCCCCAAAGTGTGCTTATGCTTATGTCTCTAGTTGTAGATGACTCTTTGATTGAAGGCGGGTGCCTGTTTTGCTTTTTTGTGTTACTCCAACTCCAGTGATAAGGTCTGAACGTCTCTCAACGTTCAATAAGTTTGTTGTTGGACTACGTTGCTGATGAAGGGTTGCAAGCCTCTCAAGTACTTGTATACTGTGTGCTTTTCTATCTTTGTAAGCTCACAATTTATAGCTTAAGTTGCATAAATTTTGTTATACACTCCACTGATAGTTCCCTCTGCTGCAGTTGATGAAGTTTCAAGTAAATATTTTGGTGGTAATATGGGGATAGGTACCATGCTATATCGCCTTATTCATTTTCTCTTAGACCGTAATAGTCCCATCTCTCTCTGTATCTCTCTTCAGATTCTCCCACCACAAAGAGACATTTTTTTTAGCTTGATGACAACAAGCTATACTTTTTTGTCATATGGCTCCTCTTTATATTCAAAGATCCTCTCAACAGTCAACAATCACTCAATGAAGTCATCCAAATTCATTTTTCACTCAAATTTGGTAGATCCACTTTCACTCCTAAGTTTATGTATCCTTCAACAGGCATTTCCTCTCAGTCTCCTCTGATATTGAATTCGGAAGCGTCGTGGTCGATTCTCTTCTTAATTGAAATCATCATTATGGAAGAGATTCAGATGTTTTTCTCGCTCTTCTGGATCTTACAATCACGTTTGACGATAACCTATTCATGGGTTTTTTCCTCAATTTCATTGAGCCGTTGTTGCACTTAACAGAGTTGTCGTTGTCGTTGTATCTCTTCCATGATAAACTCTTGATCGACGTTCGACTTTGGTATTATGAATAGGGGTTGGGTGGGGGTAGGTGGGATAGGTTGTATAGGTGTGAAGTAGGGTGTGAAGTAGAGTGTGAAGTAAAATTTTTGAGTTAAGTAGGAAGGGCTGTTTACGTAACTCTAGGATAAAACTAGGATTATGTTAGCTTTAATGCTAAGTAATACTGGAGTTAACCCAAACAACAACAAACAAATATATTATTACTGAAAAAACCAATGGACGGTTACAACCAACACACTTGAAAGGGAAAAACAACAACAGACACAACATGGTTACAACCAACACACTTGAAAGGGAAAAACAACAGACACAACACAAAAAACATAACTAGAGTGTCCAATAAAAGTGGTGGTGGTGGTTAGCGAGGTTTTGGGAGATGGCACAGGGTAGAAATGATAGCTGACAAGTAAAAAAAATAAAACAATGGTTTCTTCTGGGCTAGACAACAAGCAAACAACCATGAGATGATGCGTGAGGATTATATATGAAGGGGAGGAGTTGCACTAATGACAATAGGATGGAATGGGAGAAACAGTTGGTCGGGTGGATAAAACAGGAAAGTCATAATCTACTATTTTCGGGAGGCAACAATGAGCAAGAAGGACAATGACAGTGGTGGGGAAGGTGTAGGACTGCGAGACAACAAATGGAGGATTGATATAGTGTGTGGCAGTAAGGAGAATGTTTAAACACTGAGAAACTGCAGAAAGAACAACAAGGGAGCAATTTTCCATTGGCGAAAGAAAACACAATGTACCATTCAATTCTTGGGAGATGGTCACCACCTCATGTTAGTTACAGTTGGAGCGCCTTTTCAACTTTAGATACAACCTTAATAGAAAAACACTAGAAGATGATGACTGTCCTGAATAGAAACATATATAAAACTAACATAAACATGCATAAATAACAATATATAGTCCCGGGGTTAAGAGGCATGGGCCCCACTCAAAATAGAAGGAAAATTCACAAATAGAAAGTGATGATTAACCCACTTGGACCGGTTTAAGCCAAAAAAATCCTTCAACATTGTAGCAGGAATCATGGATGGCTCCCTGCAGAATGACTCCCTACAAGTCTAGCTTCTTACTGTACAAAAGCCATGATCAAAGCCTATAGGGGGGTGCTATTGCAAAACAATGCCTTGTAGAAAGCTCCCACATCATATACAATGTTGTACTTCTATTACCATCTATATCCCCTGTTAAATTTAAATTCACAAATCTTTGTAGATTAATCCTCGCACTTCTAAAATAAAGTGCCTTGTTGACTGTTTCTCTCTTTATCCAATAATCCACTTCACCGTATCCTAATGAGGTTTGCTTATATTACCCATGTATATGCTGACCACTCCTACTGCATGTGGAATATATGGTGTTGTACATATCATCACATACATTAAAATTTCAATAGCTGAAGCATAGGGGTTCTTCCCATCTTTGCTTTCTTTGCTTCAGAATTAGGTGATAGTTCCTTAGATAGCTTGAAGTGATTACCTAAGTGGGTGCATATTATTTTTACCTCACTCAAGTTGAACCTATGTAGGATCTTCTCAATAAACTTTATATGATACAACTTCACTGTATCAACACTCCTGTACTTGTTGATTATCACATCGATGATCTTTTTGATTGGACCTAAATCCTTCATCTCAAACTCCCTTGATAATTGCTCATACAAGTTTTTAATTTTTTTAATATTTTCTTCTACAATCAACACATCATCTAAATATAAAACAAGAAAGATATAATATTTACCAAAATTTTTGATGAAGCCACAATGGTTTGCCCACTTCATGTACCCACAATCTAATATGAAGCTATCAAACATCCTATACTACTATCCTGGTGTTTGTTTCAAACCATAAAAACCCTTATACATCTTGTAAACAATGTCTTCTTTCCTTGAATTCTCATAACCATTTTGTTGTATCATATATGATTCCTCTTCTAGATCATCATATAATAAAGTCGTTTTTACATCCATCTGCTTCAGCTTTAGATCTTCCTCGGTTAATAAGCTTGGCATAACTATGACAATTATTATCTTCATTACATTTTTTTGAAACTTCTTTATAATAAGTCTTTCCTAGTAGTACCTGTTACCATCTAACTTTTTTCAGTTGTAGACTCACTTATTGTGTAGTGCTCTTTTGTCATCTAGTAATTCTGACAAATCGTAATGACCAATTTGATCTCAATAATAATATCTCATCATCCATAAAAAAATCCCAATCCATTGAATCTTCAACTCGAGTGGCCTCTTCACAGCACTTTGGCTCATCATTATCAGTTAGCAAAAGATAGTACAATAAAGGAGAATACCTCTATATTGGTCGTGTCAACTGTTGGACCTCCCGACTATAGTAACATGTGCATGAGAAACTTCATGTTCTTCATTAGATTGAGCACAAATTCTTTCTTCATCTTCCAGATCACTGTTGCATTCTATCTCAACATATATGGATGATTCCTTAGAAGTTGTTGACGAAAAATCTTGAGTTATGTTTTTGTTCATGTACATCTTCATTTCATTGAATATCACATCTCTGACCTTGATGCACTTTTGATTCTGATTGTCACAAAAATTTGTATTCGAATTTATTTGAGTCATATCCAATAAAAGTACACTTGATAGAATTTAACTCAAGTGTACTTCTATATCATGCATTAACATGAACATATAGTGAACAACGAAATTTCTTCAAGTGAGATGGATTTACCTCCATGTCACTCTAGGATTCTTTAGAGAAGCTTTCATTCAAAGACACTGATGGGCCACAATCTATCAAATAAACTGCTGTGTTCAATGTTTCTACCCAAAACTATTTTGACAAGCTTGCATACAATCTCATAATCCTAGTACACTCTGTGATGGCTATATTCATGTGCTCATCCACACCATTTAGTTTTCGTGTCCTTGAAACATTTAATTAATGTCTGATCTCTTCTGAAGCACAATAACCCTGGAACCTCTAGTCACGATACACGACATAATTATCTTATCTAAGTCATTTTAACCTCAAACCCGTCTCATTTCTATCATGTCCTTTCACTTCTCGAACACTCCAAATACATCATATATAATTTAATAAGTAAACTCATATCTTTTTTGTGTGATTACATACAATAGTGATAAAATAATGGCAACATCAAATGAACTGAACTGAAGCGGTACACAAACTTTAGTTTCTTGAAATTCACTATTGACTCATTTTTGGAGAAACAAAATTTCTTTTGCTTTACATATACACAATATTCACAAAAAAACAAGATTTATAAATTTTATACTCTAAAGCTTGTTCTTAGAAGGTAGGGACTTCATGTCTTTTTTTCACTTATATGGCCAAGCCTGTGGTGCAAAGAGCAACATCAACCTTTATTCTAGCAACATCAATAGAATATGCTATCTTATTAATTAGGTAAAAAGTGCTTTCAATGATGGCTTGAACCATCATCATTGCCATCTAATCACCTTCCACGAATCACCTGTGGAAGTAGTCATGATTATATATAGCTAGCTCACGGAGATCAAATTTCTCTTCAAATATAGAATATGTTTAAATTCACCAAGCTTTTAGACCGTTTTATTTAACAACTTGATGTCAACATCATCATTTTATGTAATTCTGTAGGCATTTTTATCTCCCAAATACAACATCCTTTGATTACAATGAGTGTAGTTTTTAAGCACCTTTTTGTTGGGGCATGCATGAAAAGCGGTACAAAAATTTACCATCCAAGATTAAGTACTATCTAGGGATAAAATTAGGGACTACCATGGATTTTATCAATGAAGACATTTGTGGAGAGATTTTTGTCTTGACCTCAACCACCACCCTTTTTTGGAGTTTTATTGTCCTTATTTAAATGACCTTTCTTCCCATACTTCCAACATGCACCTCTGCCATGTTTTCTACATGACCTGGGATATCCTCTCCTAAACTTAAATCTGTCTCTACCTATATTCCTATCTAGAATTCATCCTCTATTTTCAACATTCAACATAGAATTTGAAGTTTCACCGCTCATCTTCTTGTGTACTTCTGCATTCAACACTAATCCTATGATTTCATCAAATTTTAACTTCATATTACCTGAAAATTTATTCATCTCCATGGTCAGTTCATCTTAGCTGTATGGTAATGAAGATAGAATAAACATTGCTCCGACCTTATCATCAAACTTGATGCCCACAGAACACAACTTGTTTTTCACAGTGTTAAAATTATTCAAATGTTCAACAACCAAATACATTCACCATCTTCACGTTGAACAATCTCTTCATAAGAAAAATCTTATTTGACGTCGAAGGATTCTCATTAGTATCACCATAAGATCCATCAAAATTTTCTCGTTCACTATGTCAATGCAACAACTGATGAAACTTTGGTATGTTCCTTCAAATAGTTCCCATATTTCTAGATTCATCTATTTAGGCTTTTTGGTGATTCCTTTCAGTGATAAATACAATTTCTTTTGAAACAACAAATCTTCAACTTACATTTTCCAGAATGCAATATTTGAACCGTTGAACTTCTCTACCTTGTACTTTACTTCGTCAGTCATTGCTCTCACTGGAATAAAATTTTTAGAAAACCCTACTCTGATACCACTTGTTGGAACAAAAAAAGTAGATTCAATCGATTCACAACCAAATGACATAGCAAAAAAATACACTGATTCGAGTGATCCATGCCAAATATTTAACAGAAGTGCACAACATAAGAAATTCTAGAAACTCTACAAAATATAATGTGAAAAAACCTAAGAACGGGGAAAACAGCAAAGCCACATCAAATAAAAAATTACACTTTGAAATGAGGAGAAATATATATATTGCACCACACTCCAAGTACCTATCTACAAGTGTAGAACTCACAAATGCCTTTCCTCTCTCGGTCACACAAGTGAAAACCATAAAAATCCATAATAGAACTCGTTGTACTGCTCGCTCTATCTTACACCTGTTACATGTGCCGTTGAAAGATACTTTCTTGTATAAAAGTTGAGGACTTACGTCCCGATCTTAAGAGAAACCACTCCTGGCCTTGGAGCACCGCTCCCGAGTTCTTCCTTCCTACATGCTATATCTGGAGTTAAGTTATTTGGGTGCTGGATCGTCCGTCACAAGCATCGAGTTTCCGATGCTTTTGTTTCTAAGCCTGTAAACTAACATACCATGATGCAGCTACGCCCCATCTCGAGCGCAGGACTTCCTAGTGCGCAGTTCACTGGACGCCGGAGCGCCCATATTAGCATCAGGGCTCCTATTCCTTTGGATATGGGCTCTGGGGCACTCCTACGAGGCTATGGTTTTGCTACAGAGTTTCTAGACCAATTGGGTTCCACACGCTAACAATACTTATACCACTTTGGTATCAAAAAAATATGCATTTCACTACTAAAAAAGATATTGATTATGATATTTTATGATGTTATAGATTTAAGTAGTATGCATGAAAATATAAATATTTGTGTGTTAGATATGTAAACATATAAGAATTGTGCCGTATGTACATAAATGGCCCATAATAATATGTACTTGGAACTTTGATAAGTGATTATAGAAGCTATGCAAAAATCTACTTGAACACATTAAAATTGGTTCCAAAATTGTCCCATTTAAATAACATTTAAAATATATACGTACTTCTAAAGGTTTCAAAATCTAACACCTAAACTTTTATATTTATATTTATGACAACTTGGTGTCATAATTTTACACATGAAAGTGTGTATTTAACTTTTAAAAATTATAGTAATGATATTTTTAATATAATAGTAAGGATTTTGGTGTTATATATAAAAATATGAAAGTTTAGATGTTAGATATGTAAATAAATAAAGAATGCATGGTATCTATGTAAATGACTCAGATAAAAAAATATATTTAAAGTTGCATCACATTAATTTATTTCTTATGTTGATACTTGATCCTTATGTTCGAACGACCAACTATTGGACGTCATTTCGCCCTTCGATGAGATGTATGAAGACGTAGCGACGTCCGAACGATCAACCACTGGTCGTCACGTAGCCCATCGATGAAGTTTATGACGACGTGACACCCGGTAGTTGGCCGTCCGGACATGCCGTGTTTGGACGAAATATTTTCTCCCCAAACCAATGATTACAATCTTTCATTTATGTCTAATTGATGATAAATAAGACATTTCGCTTAGCCTCGCTCACACTTATACACACTCTCCTTTCTCTATTTATTTCATCCTAATATAAATATTTTATATGAAATACAAATTTACATAAATAGAGCATCTTATGTAAAATTAATTGTTTATTCGAATGCAGCAATCTATTTTGGGCAATTATTTTGTGGGACACTCACACCCTATCATTTAAAAAATGACAATTCTTCTATAAATATTCTTCACGTTATCAAGTAAATGTTATATATATATATATCCATAAGCTATGATACGAGCCCCGACCACCGGTTATGTGCCTAATAATTCGAGAATCACACTCTACACTCGAGGGAAATCGAACCCTAGATCAGAGATGACTTACAACTGACAAGCAGATGCATGACCAACTGATCTGAGTACGCGACACACACACACACACATACACACACACATATAGTTAAGGAATAACCGAAAACTATTAGACGAGTCACAATCATTCCTAGGTGTGCTAAATATTTGAGTACCACACCCTACACACGAGAGGACTCGAACCCGTAACCTGAGGGGATTTACGACTTTCAAAAAGTTTACTCTACCAACATGCCATGGTACGCGCGCAAACACACACAGATATATA